TGTCCATAGCGAGGTCACGGACACTGCGAGTTCGAGAGGAAGTGGGTGTCTTTTTCGGAAATGTGCATGGTGGAAAGGGATTATTTGTTCTGGTTCTGGGTTTTTTCATGTTCAATTTTTGCATTGTGTTTTATCTCTACCTTTTTTCTTTTTTAGCTGTCTTTTCTCCCTTTCCTCCACTCCCATAACACGGGAGATATTCAGCCGTGTGTTCCATTCCTCTCTTTTTATTGCCCCCCCTTCGATGATTGATGGCGTACTCGACTTTTTTCCTTTCATTTGGAGCTTGTGGCTTTGTTTTTCTATCGCTATGGCAATTGCAGCGGTCGCTTTCCACACACACACGCACACTTCTTCGGAATCCTGATATTCCCTTGGAATTTGTCTTTTTTTTTCACTTTTCTTTTTTTCCGTCGTGAGTTGTATATACCAAAATACCCATCACCACCACTGCCCCTTGGCTATCATATCAACAAGTCAAGTCATGCAAAAGGGGGAGTTAGTGAGTGAGTAGGGGGAAGTTGGCATTAGCATCGTGGACAACTGGTGAAGTTAATTAATGACGACGGATAACTTACCGCATCTAACGTTCTTTGCCTACCGGCGCTGCTCTCGGACGTCTTTTGTGGTCTCGTGCGCGCCAGTATCGTGTTGTATCTCACCGTTGTCTCAATTGTCTGCCATATCCCAATCGCAACTCCCCCGCCTTGTCACGTGCCAGCCAAGCCGTTGAAGAATTTCTTAATTTTAAGCCTCAATGATAGTCAAGGTCACGCACAATCTTTCTTTCCACCTTGCAAGCAAAAAAGACCTCCACCACCACCGCCAATCCGAGAGAAAAAAGCCAGAAAACCAGGACACAAAATGTCAACCCCGCCAACAACCTCAACCTCCACCTCCCCCCCAGCAAAGCGTCAGAAGCCATCCAACGGCGAACGCACGGGCCACCGGTCTGCATATCGCTCGGATCTAACACGCCAGGGCCTCCCGCAGAAGAAACACTACCGACAGCGCGCGCACGCAAACCCGTTCTCGGACCACCAATTGGTGTACCCTCCATGCCCCGCTGACATGGACTGGAGCAAGCACTTCTCCTCCCCCATCTCCACCTCCACCACCACCCCTGAAGAGAAAAGGGTAGAAGTAGCGGACATCGGCTGCGGCTTCGGCGGCCTGATAATCTCCCTCCCAAAGGTGCTCCCGGGCGTACGCATGCTGGGCATGGAGATAAGGACGCAAGTGACGGAGTACGTCGACGAGCGGATCCGCGCGCTGCGACGCCTAGCCGGCGGGGAAGCGTACGCGGACGTGGGCGTGATCAGGGCGAACGCGATGAAGTTTCTGCCCAATTTTTTCGAGAGGTCCCAGTTGCAGAAGGTGTTCTTGTGCTTTCCCGATCCCCACTTCAAAGCTAGGAAGCACAAGGCTAGGATTGTATCGTATGTGCTCCCCCCCTTCCTTCCTTCTTTCCTTCCCGCTTGCAGGGTTTATGTGGTTGACGCACGTGTTGCTAGGCCTACGCTGGCGAGCGAGTATGCCTACGTGCTCGCGCCTGCTGGTGTCTTGTACACCATCACCGATGTGGAGGATTTGCATCACTGGATGGCGAAGCATTTCGATGAGCACCCGTTGTTTGAGAGGTTGATTGGGGAGGAGGTTGATGGCGATGTGTGCATTGCTGTGATGAGGACCGATACCGAGGAGGGGAAGAAGGTTGAGAGGAATGGAGGAAGGAAATTTGTGGCGTGTTGGAGGAGGCGGGAGGATCCCGAGTGGGTGGAGTAGGTTGTTCCCACACAGGATGATGAATGGGTTGATGGCGTACTATGCTGTGCTATGTTTGTGTGAGGCGGTTATCCAAATATATAACACCGTATCACCCTGACCCATCTCTCCCTCTCTCTCTCGTTCTCTCTTTCTCCTTCGGCATCTGCACTTTGCATCCCCTACTACACCCCGGGAAAGCCCAAACGCAAATACCCCAAACAAACCAAACAAACAGGCAACCCTCCATAAACCAAAAATCACACCCCATCACTCGCGAACCACAAAGCTAGTGTTGCGAAATGCTGGTCCAGCGTCCCCTTCCTAGTCAGTCCCAAATTTAGGAGTCCAATGGGTCAGGCACCAAGAGGAGGCTATATATAGTGGTTGGTCCCAACTTATGAAGATGGCCACCAGCGTATCGCCCTCACCGGCTGGGATCATGGAATCGGCTGTGGAGGGGGGGGCGGGTAGGTGTGAGTGTTCCAATGGTTGGATCGCACATGGAGTAGGATGTAGGCGGGTAGGTGGGTATGATGCGGGACTTGCTCCTTTGTCTGGGTATTGATTTTCTGAGGGCGCTCGTACCGTACCGTACTACATCTAGTGCCGGCGGTGATTGCTAGGGTGGTTGTTGAGCTTATGATAACTTGTACATGTATGAAATGATAGTTGACCGGCAGTTCGCCCGAAGTACGAAAGACCAGACTAAGCAACTCGCCTGGACAACAAGTGATTGATTATTATTAATTAATGCCGTGTATGATAATATGGTATATTTTTGTTCAAGAAAAAAAAGTTTGTTAAAAAGAAAACATCTTCCCCGGGAAGGCTTGAACTTCCAACCTCTCGATTAACAGTCGAACGCGCTAACCAATTGCGCCACGGAGAACTTACTCGAAATATGGACGTAATGTTGATTAACCGCCCCGAAAATCCTCCGTCAGAACATGATAACAGTTGAGCTGGTGAACGACTGCAGGGAGGGAGGGGTAGAATTGAAAAGCGGGAAACGTCGGTGCGTAGCATCCGCACCGTCCCTGGCACAAGTATTTCATACTCTCCAGCCTTACCGCCACATATCATACATCCCTCCCACGAAGCAACCTATTCCGGACCTCCCAACGCAACGCTTCCAAAGCTTTGTGACGGATTCATGAATAGGGTTCCTTCGGGGTCGCTAGAGATCCCTCGCTGAAAATTTCTCATGAAAAGCATTGTGCTTTTTCAATGCCATTTTATTAACCTAATGGGGTGCGGAATTTCGCCGAGCTTTTTCTTTCTTGTCTGGTTGCTGTTTTACATTTACATGCTAAGTGAGTTGGATGTTTGGACTTGTGGATACTGGCTGCATGGTGGTCTATACAGTACAGCACAGTGCAGTACTCGAGCACAGAGGGCGCTGAGAGGGGAGTTGTGAGCTTTTTTGGCGGAGATCGGGAAATCGGGTTGTTTGTGTTGAACTATGAATTGCGGTTGCATATTACAAGGTTACAAGACAGCTTGGGGGGTGTAAGCAGTCTCTGCACAAAGTACGAGTAGATTTTGGAATTCCGTACAGTACCGTGATCCTTTAGATGGATAAATACCCATTTGCCCCCCCCCCCCCACTTCCTCCACGGTACTACAAGAAAAAAAGAAAGAAAGAAAGAAAGAAAGATCGGGTTACGCGCGATTGACGGGGCAAACGTGTTACATAAAGATGTAGTACGATAAATCTCCCTTCTCCACCCGGATCTATATTAAGACCCAATCAATCGCTTGATCCCTTACCATACTTGCTTGCTTTCTAGCTGATGTGGGATCTCGTGCTTCCCGGCTGAATTGGTATGTACAGGTATACCCTACCCTACCCTACCCTACCCTACTATATCTCGCATCCACAATACAGTACTACGAATCAACAGATTCTCCCTCTTCCTACCAAAAAGTAACCGCTCCTAGAAAACAAACTACCGATTTAACCTGTGCGTATATATTTGCATGTCGCACGCCACTTGCCTGACGTTGTCTCCCCCTTTTCATCATACGTAACTGCTGTGCTGTGCTGTACGGTACTTTAGTACCTCCGGGGGAGAGAGCGAGTGACAGTTTACGCTGGTTGTGCAAGGCGTGGATGATGAATGGTAGATACTGTACTGTAGGAGTGATTACGATTACGTCCTTGTCCGAGTAGGAGATTCTGTCAACTGGAGTAAGAACGGTCGTGTAGTCTATTTATCTATTACCACGATTTGGAAAAGGCACTCGAGAATTCCAAAAGTGCCATTTGCTATTTCTAACAGACGTCTACCTAATCACCTCACCCACCCGCGCGCGCAATATATGTTTTTTTGTGTTTTTTTGTTTTTTTTTGCTTTAAGTGAATCCTGTAATTCCAAATAATCTCAAAAGTGCCAGATCCCCAATAAGGCATAAGGTATCCAATCCAGAATCCGCATTGCCGGGCTTGAACGTGACCCCGGCCCTTCCATTCTCTCGCCTCACTGCACCAAGAAGTTCGGCCTATATATCACACCTTGCGGGACGCGGCTATGATAGCCAGCGAGGACGTAATTGTGCGCAAGTATCATATATAGGGAAAAAAAGAGCGCCCTCCCTCAGTGTGTAACTTTCCCTTCACAGGTTGTGACATCACCTACCATCACTCGTAGTCTTGACCGTAATGCGATATCAACGGGACCAGCAAACGTAGTCCGGTCTGCGTCTCCTGTTGTATATATGAATGAACGAACGAGCAACGTAAGAGAAAGTGAAAGCGCTTGACATATGTGTGTGTGTGTGTAAACCTTTTATTCAACTACAATCTCACCTACTAACTAAAGTAATCGGAGTACGGCATGAGATACAGCCCCCAGCCCTGGGCCCCCCTTAAAGAAATCCCCCTCGCGGGCCACCTGCCACAAGAAAATCATTACATCAACGCGCAACAAAAGAAACAACAGCCCAGCGCCCGCACCTACACCCAACCCTACCCCTAGCAACATTAGCCAAGCGTCCACGGCCCCCTGTCGCAGGCGCCACCCGAAGGCGGTTCCCCGGGGAGCTCCCCATTAAGCGACTGTGCCCCCAAGCCATTACAGCAAGGGTGATACTGCAATGTCGACAATAAAACCAAACGGTCGGTGGAGTTCGGGACAGGTCAGTCGCCGTCATAGTCGTCTGGGCCAGATGAGGAAATGTAGATTGCCGAGCCGTCACCGCCAAGCATCTGGCCGCGCCACCCGAGGGGGCGGGCCACACCAGTCGAGCCACACCCAAAAGAGGGGGTGGTGAAGGTCGATTTCTCCGGGTCAAAGCCATCCCCCCCATAGGGGGTCAGGAACACCGGGTTCGCGCAGGGGCCCAGCTCGAAGCTGGGAAAAGACAGTGAGGGGCGCAAGGCCCTAAGGGCCCAAGCAAGAGAGAAGGGGGACCAAGGAGGAACCGGAATCGCATGAGTGTCCGAACGGTCGCTCCGAAGAGGGGGGGAGGACGGCCTCCCTATACGACCAACTGTATCCTGGCTGGAAACCAAGGACGCCCGACCGACAAGCAAGAGCAAAAGAACGAGGGGAAAAATAAGGACCGTAAGGTCCACTCGGTGCCGTATCAATAGGCAAACAAAGGAAAGTGAGCCAACGGAGCACAAAAATGTGAACCTTCCGAAGGTGGGAAAGTTAAAGACTTGAAGCCATCGTGAGAAGCTCTTCAAGGGCGTTTGATTGGGTGAGCCCCCCAAACACCGCACTGATACACCTAACCCTCAGAGTTGAAAAGAAGGAGACTGTGTGTGTGTGTGTAAACCTTTTATTCTTCCACTATCTCACCTACTTACTAAAGTAATCGGAGTACGGCATGGGATACTGCCCCCAGCCCTGGGCCCCCCTCAATGAAATCCTTCGCTACACCCCCCTGTAGGCCATACAAAGGAAACTCCCACTCCCTTCCTCTCCTCTCCCTTAAACAGCTTTGGTCCGTCACAAAGGAAACCCACTCCTGCCCCCCGGCCCCATGGTCGTAAACAAAATAAAATCCATCAACAAAGGAAACCCATTCCTGCCCCTTTGGCCCCATGGTCGTGAACAAAAGAAATCTAAACTAACAAAGGAAACCTACGCCTGCCCCCTGTGCCCCATAGTCGTGAACAAAGGAAATCTAAACAAACAAAAGGAACCCATGCCTGCCCCCTGTGCCCCGTGGTCGTGTACATTATGAAATAACAATCTGACCAGCATTACTCCCCTGGTCCACTGGGCGCCTCCTCCATGTCTTCCGCCGTTGTAGCCTATCGGCCCTTTCTCGCCGGGTCGTGTATTCTGGCATGCGCCGACTCATGCTGCACGTCCCTCAGTACCATTTCCCCACATATCTTGCACGGCCGTCGTGGTCTGGGTTTCACCGGTTTCTGTGTTGGTTGGCTTGTGGGTAGGTTAATGTTGGCTCCGATTACCTGGGCGGCGTCTGGTTGTTGGGTGCCGTCCTCCTCCCCGGTCATTTCTGGTTTTCCCTTAAGTTCATGTGGCCAGTCGTCCATCCATTGAAGGAGTTCTCCTTGCCTTTTGTTGTCGTAGAGCCCGATTGTCGTGGTGGTTGTTACCCCGCATCTGTTTGCTAGGTGGTCAAATATTATTATGTCCCGATCGCATGGGCATCGCCTCCTGGCGCCGGTTATCTCCTGGTATGGCCAACCTGCCGTTGCCCTTAATCCTAGCAGCCTTTTAAAGCTTTCCCTGGTTAGGGAGTGTAGGTGCTTGTACGATTTAGAGGGCCTTCCTTGGTACCTGGTCCCTTCGTTGGTGACTCTTTCTGCCCATTCTTGTTGCATCCGGTTTTTGAGTGCGTCTTTGCCTAGCTGGTAATTGCCGGTGGTGGTGATAACATCTTCTGCCCCTTGCCTGGCCATCCATCTCTTTGTCCAAGTGTTGTGGCGGTCCTTGGTGGTGGCTTGTAGCGCCAGCAAGTTTTGCCTGAACTACATCATGAGGTCCAGTGGCGGGATCCCGAGTTCGGTAAGGAAGGCCAGGACCGGTGTTTTCTTTTCCAGCCCGAAGGGGATTCGGATTATCTTGTTGAGGGCCGCCTACGCTTCTCTTATCAGGCCTTTGTTTCCCCATGTCTCT